ATATTTCGTTCATTTTGCGAGATATAAAACTTATTTTGATTTGTTCAAAATTTGTATTTTATTTTGTCGGTACAGTATTATTGATCACAAGCAAGGTGTTTGGCATCGCTTGTGTGGTGCAACCGTTCAGACTCGAGTACCAGACCACATTTCATACATAAAACCTAATCAAATGTTCCACGCGACAAAGGGAGAATCTTGTTGGCTGTCATTATCATGACGTATAATCATTTAATTTTATCTATTTACCAGGTTTTGTTAGCAAGTTCTCGTGGGGGAAACTATGGCATTGACTTTCTTTTATTAACACCAAACCGTGATACGATGAAGAAGATACCAGACCTGAAGACTTGGGCATACAAAACACCGATAACAAAAAAAGGTAGTTCAATTATAGCGAGTGCGGCCGAATCTGTAGATAACATGCGTATATATAAAAGGGTATGGAAGAAATCTATATACTCCAAGAGTTTGAAAATGGTGCACTTCGGGTCAATGGGCGGTGCCATTGCATTGCTTGTTGTTTCATAAGGCAACGGACACGCAACGGACTAAAAATATTTTAACTCTGATCAGCGGCGACATACGATTCGTGCGTGGCGCCATCTTGAATCCAGCTCAAAACGTGAACTAATTAACTCGAATTGCGTTAGTTATATTTTTAGTAAATTAATAAACTACCCGGCTGCGCTTGCCCGCGATCACACAGAATTATTAGTTGCGATCTATATTATATATATTAAGAAAACTCTACTAGAAATAAAGAACCTTAGATGTCTTGGGAAGGATTGTAATGTAGTTTTACGTATTTTGTTTTAAAGTTATGGGAAATCTAAACAATGACACTCTACCCCATTTCCTTCTGATTAAGGCGTTTATACGTTTTGTTTTGACAACGGAGCTAGCAGGTTCACTTCTAAGCATGTGCATCTAGAAATTATAATTTTTCAACGCGAGGAGTGGAGGAAAAGTATTGATATGCAGCGGAAAAAGTTACTGGAGGAAGAAGACGTGACAACAGCTGTGCATAATGTGACGGTATGTAACATACGTGCACAGTACTACACTACACTACACTACACTACACTACACTACACTACACTACACTACACTACACTACACTACACTACACTACACTACTGTACACTGTGCTCCTCGTGCTATACAATATTTAAAAGCACGTGAGAGATTTAAGTCAGTTATTATTAAACTACAGTTTTTAACATTGGTTCATGAAAAATACATGTATCATCGTCGGCATGGATTTGTAAGTATTGCGATATAACTTTGTTATTTTGTTGACATATATCATATGTCATCATGTGTATCATATAGCACATGTACTAGTGAAAAGACATCGACAGTGCGCCAAGACGAGAAATGTTCATTTTAACTATCCACACATATACAACTTTTTTAAATCTTTCTTCCGTGCAGAATTCGGTGGTGGATAACATCGATACAATTGCCCATTATATTGACGACATTCTATTTCATCAGATGTCCATAAGGAGGACCGCAATAAAAGACTCGTATCTTGTCATCGAAAACAGTTCTTACATTCAACAATGGTCAATAATCCAATGTATTGTAATCGTTGCCGCCTCGGTCTTCCAAACTTTTTTTGTACGACGATTATTTAATGTGAAGACAGTAACACCAACGCAGAAACCCCGTGCGTAATATTGATATCGTAAACGTTGTATGTTTCTAATATGTGTCCTATATTCTATTACATTCTCATGCTACTTTGTCTCAGAGAGCCCCATGTTTGAAATGTGACATAAAATTGATCCTTACACCTGGAAATTGGATATTAGTGGTGGATAACATATTTGGCCGCCATTAGTCAGCTACATTTGGCGCCCCGAATTAAAAAGAACAATCTTTCTATTGAACGTTGAATACATTTTTCTCTTTGAACAGATTGAGAATTGACCATATTAAATAGAGAGGCAGAAAAACGTCCAGATTTTAAATCTGCTAATATGCATTTTTCTCGAGTTGAGCTAATATTTTTTATTGGTTTCGCCAGTTCAATGTCATTGAATGTACTTGCACGCTATGAATTTGATGTCAGTATATGAATTATGGGTCTGTAAATGTACGCATTAAAAGCATATATACATATTATTAACAACATACTATTAGACGGAGTTATCTATTGTGTTGAATATATCCATGTACGTCGTGTCAGCTTGTTTGGCATATATTTTATAATGTTATACACAGTAAGCTTCGGCTTTAGTCGGCCGACCAAACATTGCAAATGAACTTTTGATTGCACACGCTTTCATCCATATATATCACAGAAAGAAACTTTCCACGGTAAGCGTCGTTGTGATTTTAAACCCACAATTCCGATTTTAAAATAAATCCAGTTATTTTAACAGTTATACAAATTGACATTCTGTATTACAAACTGTAGTTTCTCTTCGGTTAAGGTATCAAAAGTTGGTCAAAACTCACCAAATGTTTATTTTAAAGAGAAATGTTGAAATACTATGAACACTACATTACTGTAATTTTGCATGGATACCCGATTTTCACATGAAATAACATTTATATTGGCCACCCCACTATTGGCATATAAACTACAATCTTTCATGAATATGTGTGCTCTCTTTTCTTGTTTCACTTCCGTGATGATGTCTACCATATATCGGGCCTGTGATAGTATTATTCTTTCTGTCCGGGTACTGAATCCAAATTCAAGTGTATATGCTGGCATGTACGCGGTAAAATGGAATTTCCATTTGTTGAAGATAAGTCGCTATCTATGTGTGCTTCTTTTACTTGACTCAGCTAACGTGAGATATATGTAGAATAAGCGTCCGTGTCCGAAACCTTAAGGTATCACATTAACTTAGAATGCGAGGTATGTCATAGCCAATGTGAACTCTACCATTTCTCAAAATATTGATATGAACACAATACGCTATTAAGTACGTTAATTGTTTGGTTACTATTGTATATACATCGCGTTAACGAGTATGCTTAAAGGCTCAATGGCACAAACATATGAAATTTGTCTTCGTGTATCTTTGATGGGGAACACTGTTCGATTATACTGTAACTGCTTTGACCAGTAAGTCCAAGTTATTCGCAATAATAGTATTGCTAGTTCAAACTATAATTGGTTGGAATTACTTGCCGCACACGTTTTAAATGACCCCTAAAAACAAATAAACCGATACAACCATTTCGAACCACATACTATCTGGGGGATTCAGGTTTTTAATCATACACATGACCAACATTTTAGTTTAATTGAATGTCTGCATGTTCTTTGAATATGTCTCGTCTCTCTGCAGAGAAAACAAGAAAACACCTGATTGGGCATTACTAGTGTCACGACAAATTTGGGTTCGTGCAAATTCTGGACAACTTGGTTCGTAGAAACAAGAAACCGGTTTCTTGATGTACCGGAACATCAGCATAATTGCGCCCCGGTTGTATTGACCAGTAACTCTACTCGTTGTTATAACTAGAGTGTTGTTTATACTGGTAATTGTATTAGCGACCACCCGGCTTATCCCGCTAACTAGGTCGATAACCTCTGGTTATAATGGCATATGACACAAAAGAGCAGCAACTTGTGGGCAAAAACATTTGTGCTTTCCGTTGATCCTTACATGATCTACGTGGATGTATTAACTTGTTCCCTGTTATATGTATGTGCTGCCCCAATAGCCACAGCTAAATAAACACTAATTACGTATTATCCTTTCTGAAACGTGCTTAATTCTTGTTCCTGTCATTTGATTCGTCGTTAATGTTAATGTAATGTTAATAGGCATCGAAGGGCGTTTAACAACATTTGTCAAGAAAAAAACAACATGGCAGGCGCTTTAATTTGTTTTAATAACTGCTTTTGCTGGCGTAATGATATGGTGAATCTGTGTAAGAACACACCAGCTGAATAAATCTTTATTTTCATTTTTGCAGCTTCAAGTTGTATGTGTCTGGTTTATGTACTTTTATTTTGTTTCTGTATGTAATAATGACATATATTGCAAGTTTGTCAAACAATTTACTCAAGTTTATTCGAATAAATCAGAATTACGAGCAACACATACTCCGGAAATACTCTCTGGAGGACAACCATATATACTGTGGCTCAGCACAAATGTCAACGGGACAGCAGTTCTGTTTTTAAAGATCTTAGCTAATATCAGTAATATTATGCATATATTGAATTATTTTGAAATATTGCTCTTCGCGCGTATAACTGATACAGTTCGCATATTTTAATAGTCACATTAAACACATTAATCACGCCCTCTGATATGTTTGCTGGTAAGATGTAGATTATGAACCACAATCCCCATCCAGCATCCAAAAAGTAAGTTAATCCATTACCACCAATTTCAACTTCGGCCCAGGATCACCCAGAGTGAACATTGTGTATTACCATGTATTACATATATTACTGAACATAGCAAAATAGAAAAGTTTTCTCAGGTTAAAATTATCCAAATAACAGAGTTCATTGTTTCATGAATGACAAGCGTATTTAACGATCTATCTTGAATTCAATCGTTAATTTTGGTGTTGTACATGTTGCTCACTGTTAAGTTTCACCGTTGATGGCATGAGAACTCTTTAGTTGAAAACATTTTAGTTGAAACATATATCTTAGAGTGTCAGTGTCCATTCACAAATGACCGTAGCCTGGCATATTTATTTGTTGAAGGGAAAAGGTGTTATACATCTAATGATAATTGAAATATAGTTTTAATAATCCGTAGGAAATATCAGCAATCAAACCTTGCAATGAAAATTGGCTTTGGTACATACAGACGGTTATGGTACATTCAGTGCTATATTGCTGCAAACAAAATTCAAATTCGAATGGAACAAACGCTAGAATATGTAATATGCAGATTAGCTCTGAGAAATATCACGAATAATGATTAATACGAGAAGCACGATAACACGAAGTTACAGACAAGCGCAGATGTAAAAAAAGTTCAAATTAATACTTCTGATAACTAATTTCAAATATCTTCTTCTGTCAAAGTATCGTATAATCCAGATTCTGGTCTCTCACTACCTAACAGCGACATGTAAAAATGCTCGTGAAGGTTTTGTTCACTTGTACACGCATCCACGTGAAGTGCAGGTGGCGCTGATGGATTTTCGAATTCAACCATCATATTGTCTGGATTATACAATACGTTCTGCTCACCATATACGTTAGCTGAAACGTGGGTCTGGTGTTGCGGAACAGATCTATGTAAGGAAGATCCCCGGCTCCTGCATAATACAAATGTGTAACACTTGTGTTAGTAGCAATAGTGATTTGTAGACTTACGTGTAGTTAAAGCTGGGGAGTCGTCACCTGCGCACGCGCGGGAATTGAGTTCCAAGCGACGATAACAACACACGTTAAAACGCAAATGTTCATGGGTAGACTCTTGTTTATAAACAATGACAGGCTATGGCCATCTGACGCATGCGCAGGGGACGACTCCCCCGTTTTAATATATGTCATGTTTAACAATTATGTATGTATTCATGACGTCGTGTATTACGTCTTCAAGAGACTACTATTTGGGTAGTTCTTATTCTACTAGAGTTGGACATACAATAACTAAAACAGTTCACTTTCACATTCTCAATCTAAGCACTGTTAGTTTTGAATTTGTTAACAATTATTGTTTTTATTCGATGTTGCTTTCCTTTTGATTTGCCTTTTATTAAAATACAAGTCCCCCCCCCACCAATCTCATATACTCAATTGAAATTTTTATTGAACGTTACTGGTGATGTCAGCAAATATATAATACTATCAGAATGTCAAGCTCATATGACATCATGTTAATGGACGGCAAAAGACCCATGAAAGTTTTCGGGGCGCATCTAAGATATATCAGTGACCCAATCACGCAATACATTGGTATAAGCCCCAAAACCGGTAAAAACATATGTTCCTTTAAAAAACGGAACAACACAAATGCAGTTAACACTTATCTAAACAAATCTAAGTTCTTATATGATGTCAAGTTGGTGCATTGGATTTATATTGACTGTTTAGATTGATTGAGAAAGATATGATAACATGTTTCTTTAAGTCCACCTATTAAACATACTTACTTTAGATAACATGCGAATAATACAACCACGATGATTATCAAGATGAGAAACACTGTGACACTGCTACTGATAATTACTATTTGTTGTACTTTTTGTGAACTTTCACCATCAGCAGCAGTCGTTGTTTTTGGTGGAATCGTCGAACGTGATGTTTTCAATGTATTTGTTGTTTTTGTATTCGGTTTTGAACCAGGTGTTGTAGGGGCTGACATACGGGTGGTTGGATGGATTGTCGTACGAGGGGTCTCTTTTGTTGTTAGGGTTCCTGAAAAGGGCAGACAATACTATCATGTAAATGCAACTATTGTGACATACTAGAATTATTTATGAATGAGCTCTGCTATACGTTTTCTATCTTGAAATACCATCTAGATGCAAATTTTGTCTGTAAACAGGGAGCACCGTTTCTTGGTTCTACTATGATTACAGAATTAGTTAACATTTGAGTTGATCAGTATATATATATATATATATTTATACATACATTTTAACATACAATATAGATATATATAGATATTGGTGTTTGATACTGCTGGAATAATTAGTATCACACAGATACAATTATATATTCACATAATCGCTGCACATACGTAATGTTAATTAACGTTTGTTAATTTCTTTTTATTGAAAAAATATTGCGCGTAATGTAAACATATTTTAACAACTATATATCCCAGTAATATTTGATACAAACACATTCATATTATATCTTCACAAGTATAAGTCCATACTCGTGGCTAATTTTTTGTTCTATTCATTGCAATTCCAAATATTTCAAATATTAGCTCAAAATGATATCAAACCCGAGCTTGAAACAATACTAACAGGTTTATCTGTTTATAAATATATTTACTAGTTCTAATGACATTTGTGATCATGTAATTCCCACATCTGAACAATACAATTGAGAATTATGGATTATTAAAAGACTAAATAGAAAATGTATAAGAAGTGGCTGATCAAAAATACGTTTGAAATATATACTACTTATATAACTACTGCCTAGGTGATTTGTCATTTTTTATCACAGTTCATAATATCAGTCATGGAAACGTTTGAATAAATACATACCGCTGGACAAAATGCCCAGATACAAGTCCATGGCTTCCTTGAATATTTCCGAACTGCGACTGATAATATTCAATCCAGTTTCTTTATCTGCTCTCTGTAGATGACTGTCCGCACGGTCTGTCCAATAAATGTAATCTTCATCGACAGCAATGCTGAACGGATGAGTTTTGCCCTCAAGTTGAATCAAAGAGTGTCGAATTCCATAGTTCAAATTATAGTATTCTATTTTATTAGTTCTTGCATCGCACCAGTAGAGTTTACTATCTGTCGATAACACATAGAAACATACTTTGTATCTCTGAGATTTTAATTTAATTAATGATTTTTGAAAAGCACATATCAATTTTATTTTCATGGTTACTAGTACCACACGTTAATTAAATTCAGTAATGAGAAAACGCAACACTCGTTTGACGCTCAATTTATGGTTTGGCCCATCACAAATTGCAACAGAAATAATTTCTTCACAATACATCCCGGGGAGGTGCCTAGATTGACATACTAAAAGTCTAGGAAAATCCAGGTTTCCGAAATATATCTAGTTTGCATATATTCAAAATGGCCGTTTGGTGCATTTTTACAACATGGAAAATATAACTATTAGGACATATCTTTAATTGTAGATGACATTTTTTTAGATATTCAAGTTGCTGCGATATGGTTTGCTGTGTCTGAATGTATGTGATTTCGAAAAATTTGATTTAATAACAATGCCATTTGCATAAATCCAATATGTCCGTCAAAATAGTATCATTTAAATGTGCAACCTCGGGTGGTCTCTCGGAGTCTGTTCCTCGTAATGACTCCGTGATGCACGCCGAGGGATGAGGGAAACATCGATCCTAGTGACCCGATATTCAAACCCCCCTCACCCTCGATCCTGAAACAGTCACTCTAGGGGGGACGCACAGATGGTGTTGATGGGCGGACCTTGGTCCCACATGGAATAGAGGCCTGAATCCTTAGGTTAGATAATTCTTATGCCCAACCTTTTCCGCTGGACAAGGAGCTACCCGATCGAGCGGTGTTTGAGACTGGAGCCAGCAGAGTCTGGAGTCAAATCTCGTGCCCAATTAGATCCTTCGGTTCTTCCCCTACTCCGGTACCACACATTTTTTTGGTTAGGTGGGACGGGCAAAGGGAGTGGCCGCGTTCATGAAATATTTCGACCAATTAGTCGGAAACAATCCATGCACTGAGTGGCGACCCTCAAACTTGTGGCCAGACCACTGAAAAAATTTTTTTTGCGCCGCCAGCACTCTGAAATCTCAATGGCGGAACGCAACAGCCTCCTAGACCAGCAGACACAGCCATTGGTAGGACACCACACAGCTAAGCTGCAGTGTCATCTGGCTCTCGTGGCAGGAGCTGCCTCTGTACAACGGAATGCAGTTTTGGCTGTTTTCACTGGGTGCACCACCACCTCAGTTATGCAGGCTGGACCTCCCCCACCCTCGTCTTTTTTGAGGATGGAAGTAGCTGTCTTGGTGTCTTGGGGTCCCACTGACTAGTTGGTACAGATGAGACCCGCGAGCCAGTTTGGCTTCTGCCAAGGGCAAGCGGTAAGGACCCCAAGCTGAGAAAATGTAACGACCAAAGTCGGTACCCACTGGCTAGAAGTAGCCAGGAGACAAGCGTCCTGGCTCTTCCAGGGGAAGGACTAGT